TGGAGTTATGCCTCTTGCAATGTAGAACTTGGCATTAATTCACCTGTTGTTGCTGTATTTATGATCCAGTCCTCTGGAAAAATACTTCAATCTTGTTGATGGAAATCGTGCATTATACAAAAGTATTTGAAAAAGAAGGTTTGCAATAAATTTTTATATAAAAAGTGCACACATTAGGTACTTGTGGTGGTGCAGCCCCCTGTCCCTGGCCGCTGGGTGTGATTTCCCCCCTCTACTGGGCCACACACCAACCCAGGATGGATTGTGAACGGCAGCTGGCCAGAGCATTAACACACTGTCGTGGTTTGGGCCTGGTCGGCAGCCAACCACAATGCAGCAGCTCTCTCTCCCTTCCCCTCCGGCAATGAGAAGGGACAGAGAGCCAGGCTTGGGGTTCAAGATAGGACTGGGATGGGGAAAAATCCCCCTTTTATGATCACGAGCAAAAGGCAGATTCGTTAGGGGAAGAAAAAAAGAACATACATTTATTACAGCCACTAACAACACATAACAGAGTAGGACAGTGAGAAGCATTGCCACATCTTGAGAACACCTTCCCCCCACCCCTCCCTTCTTCCCGGGCTCAGCTCTGCTCCCGATATCTCTACCTCCTCCCCCAGCGGCGCAGGGGCAGGGAATGGGGGGTGCAGTCAGTGCTGCTGCTTCTTCCATCTTCGGTGGGGGGAGCTTCTGGAACTTGTTCCCCCCTGCTCCATTGTGGTCCCCCTCTCACAGCAGACAGTCCTCCACAAACTTTCTCCGACATGAGTCCCTCCCATGGGCCGCAGCGTTCCCCACACTGCTCCGTCATGGGTCACTAACTTCCTCCAACTGGATTCCCTCCCACAGCTGCAGCCCTTCCCGAGCTGCTCCGGCGTGGGACTCCCCCGCATGCTGCAATCCTCCCAGCACTGAATTACAGCAGCGGGGCTGCCTTTTCCCATGAGACCCCGGCCTTCTTCAGGCACAGAACCTTGATTATGCCGAGCAGGAGCCACAGGCCATAAATCAGTGTCTGCTCCACCGTAGATCTCCATGGGTGGCAGGGGGGGCCGCCCTGCCGTCTCCCCACAGGATACAGGAGGGTCTCTGCTCCGGCACACCTCCCCCCTCCTTTCTCCCTCCGTTCCTCCACTGACCTTGGTGTTCACGCAGCTGCAGCAACTCCTCCTCACCAGTCCCACTGCCCGTCACCACGTCCCTTCTTAAATACGTTATCGCAGAGGCACAGCTGATGGGCTCAATTTCCCAAACAGAAGTGGGGCTGGCTTGGAGCTGGGGGAGCTTTGAGAAGCTTCTCACAGGGGGCCGCCCCGATAGCCCCCTCCCCTGCCACCAAAAAACTCCACCACTCACTCAACCCAGGACACACACCCTCTTAACGAACCTGGCTCCCGCTTCCCCTGCCGCTCCATCACCTCCTGACAGCCCAGATCATCTGCACCTGGGTCGTCGCCCAAAGCAGGGAATACTAGAACTTGATAAGCTGAGCAACTGGTGGAAAGGGCCAGAGTGTTTCATCATCCCAGTTGGGCTGAAAAGAAAAAGCACCTGCCGGGAAGTCAGTAATCGCAGACCTTGTAAATAGTGATCCTGAGCGAGACCCTTTGAGCTCCCTGGGATCGCAGTGGGCTGTGACCAGCGTACGCCCCGAGCTGGGGCACCACGCGGGCACAGGCTGCTCGTAGGTTGCTCACGAAGCTGATGAAAGCAAGGGTGAAGTCAGACTTCTCGACTCTGAACTACCACCCGTTCAGAAATGCCAACGCATTGTGAGTATTTGCCCCAAACTCGAGGGAAATTTTAACGACAGGCCAGCCTCTTCCATCCACCTCTACCTATCTATCCATTTAACTATGCACATTCACATTTATGAGTGTGGATATATGCTACACTGGAAATCCAAGTATTTCCATGCTGTTTGTATGTCTTGTCTTTCACATATATACAGATACATGCTTTGATTCAGAATACCTTATAGTCATTTCGTGTGAATCTTGTCATTCTCGCATCTGTAATCAAGTCTCTATTTTAATCATATTTTACCACATCACTTCGTTAATCTTTGAATCAATCAACCATTAAGTGCTGCTAAAATCTAGTCTTTGATTGACCTCACGCCACTAATAAATCTTAAATTGCTATTAAGTAATATCTGTGTGAGATACCTTCATCCGTGACAGTCCTCTACTGCTGTGCTCCTATGAAGCTTATGTGAAACCAGCATGGGCATCTGCTACGTTTTAAGGTACACCAACATTAAGGTGCTAGATCAAATCAAGAGCATGCTTTTGAAGCAGGTCGCCCAATTGTCCTTGTTTACTGTGCTTCTTACGCGATGCTGTGTGGTCTCAGAGTACGAGTCACATTTCTTTTGGATAAAACTACAGATAATGGATAAAAAACAGGATGCAGGGCCAACAAGTGTGCTGTTGTCGTGGTTTGGGCCTGGTCGGCAGCCAACCACCACGCAGCCACTCTCTCTCCCTTCTCTTCTGGCAATGAAGGGACAGAGAGCCAGGCTTGGGGTTCAAGATAGGACTGAGATGGGTAAAAAATCCCCCTTTATGATCACGAGCAAAAGGCAGACTCGTTAGGGGAAGGAAAAAAATAGAACATACATTTATTACAGACACTAACAACACATAACAGAGTAGGACAGTGAGAAGCATTGCCACATCCTGAGAACACCTTCCCCCCACCCCTCCCTTCTTCCCGGGCTCAGCTCTGCTCCCGATATCTCTACCTCCTCCCCCAGTGGCGCAGGGGCAGGGAATGGGGGGTGCAGTCAGTGCTGCTGCTGCTGCTTCTTCCATCTTCGGTGGGGGGAGCTTCTGGAACTTGTTCCCCCTGCTCCAGCGTGGTCCCCCTCTCACAGGAGACAGTTCTCCACAGACTTTCTCAGATGTCAGTCCCTCCCACAGGCTGCAGTATTCCCCACACTGCTCCGTCGTGGGTCACCAACTTTCTCCGACTGGATTCCCTCCCACGACTGCAGCCCTTCCCGAGCTGCTCCGGCGTGGGACTCCCCCGCATGCTGCAATCCTCCCAGCGCTGAATTACAGCAGTGGGGCTGCCTTTTCCCATGAGACCCCGGCCTTCTTCAGGCACAGAACCTTGATTATGCCGAGCAGGAGCCACAGGCCATAAATCAGTGTCTGCTCCACTGTAGATCTCCATGGGTGGCAGGGGGGGGCCGCCCTGCCGTCTCCCCACAGGATACAGGGGGGTCTCTGCTCCGGCACACCTCCTCCCTCCTTTCTTCCTCCGTTCCTCCACTGACCTTGGTGTTCATGCAGCTGCTGCAACTCCTCCTCACCAGTCCCACTGCTCCTCACCACATCCCTTCTTAAATACGTTATCGCAGAGGCGCAGCTGATGGGCTCAGTTTTGGTGCAGAAGTGGAGCTGACTCGGAGCTGGGGGAGCTTCGAGAAGCTTCTCACAGCGGGGATCACCCCTATAGTCCCCTCCCCTGCTACCAAAAAACCCCACCACTCACTCAACCCAGGACATTCCACCCCTTGCCTCTGCGAATCTGTAATTTAATAATTAAGAGATCCAGCATTCAGTACAGAAGATAGTGTATACGCTAACGGGCAGTCTAGCCACGGGATCACATGTGAGCTAGTCTGAAGTATTCATCTCCTAAAAGTGCATTGTGGATGGCAGGCACTGAGCTTCAGGTATTCTGTACTCCTGGTGTATTACTATTGCCATGTGCTATTTGTTAGTGTAGACAGAGTCTTGTCGTGCTCCAAACACCATCTTTTTCCCTGTAATCACCAGAGTTGCCAGACATATCCAGATGTGTTGTTACAAGGGATCACTATTGCGAGCTATCAGATTTTACCGTGGCAAAAAAAATAATCATTCGGTACATGCCATTCCTTGTTTTACAAGTCTGCTTCAAAATGCTGGGCAAAAATAGTGTTGGTACTTTCTGCCTAAAGTGCTTTCTATCTACATCTCTAAGAGAATTTTTTTCTGTTACTGGCCTTTCACAGAGTCAGTGTATGGAGAAACATTACAGACAGAGACACATGTATATATCTATGTATGATGTATATAGGTATATACATGCATACTACACACATCAGATGCATATATGTACACATATATATACACATACATACACACACACACATATACAGGCATCTGATGCACCTTCCCTTCTGAATATGTTACAGTCCTGTACTTGGTGAAACACTGAGGATGAATTGTTGGCTGCAACAGACCACTGCCGAGCCTCCCTGCAGACCCCTCCCATGCAGCGTTACTGGGTTTGTGTTTGAAGAGTTGGAAGAACAACTCCATAGAGAGGAAATGGCCTCACTGATTTCAGCCAGGCCAGAATTTCACCCAGACTTTGTAACGCAAGACCAAGGCGGCTCTCCGTTCAACATACACCTCTGTGTTATAGAGATTTTAGTTATAGAGTGAGAGTTTGGTTACAGATTTAGTTATAGAGTGAGAGTTGTATCCCAGCTCATACAAATTCTACTTATGCAATGGTATGTATATCATTGACCCTAATAGCATCATATCACGTATACTGAAAATGATACAAAGCTTGTCTTAATAGAATGTGCTCAAGTAAAGCGTGTTTTATTTTGAAACATCAGTTTGAGCCATTTTCCCATTTTTGAGTACTGGGAACCTCAAGCTAGCGTATTACAACTGGTTCCCTCACACCCAGCCCCGCCTCTGAAGAAACATGAACTTCAGCCAGACTAGATGGTATAGGAAACATTATTTCTTTTTAAGAAATTTGCAGTTCTAGAGATGTGACCTCAGACTTTACAATGTACTGCTTCCTCACGGAAAACTGTCACACACAATACAAACACAGAGAGCAATAAACTTAAAAATTAGTATCAACCATTTCCCCTGCATCACCATGAGATTTCGGTTGACTCCTAAGTTTAGGGAGCAGTGCAAATTAAAGCCACTTCACACCATGAGACTGAGTAGACAAGCAATAAACAGTGATTTCAAAGATGTTTTTACAACAATGTTTTATTCTATTAAATATGAAAGAGCGTACATACAGGTATTATTCTGAGGACATAAATTACACAAGGATTACATGTTCTGTCAGAAAAGCACAATAATGAAACATCTTAACATTTCAAACTTTTCTTGTTAGCTTTAACAAATGAGTCTATTTCTGTTGCAAACAAGTAACGAGTGCTATTGAACTTCTGCAAATTCCCACAAGAACATCATGCTTAGTAGGATACTTTAAATATTGTGAGGATGAAATCAGAATTAGATTCCTAAATAACAAGATGGAAGAGATTTACTACTTAATCAAGATAAATGACACACTGAAATAGGAGTGGAGACAAAATTGGTCATTCGTTAAATAAAAAAATTCCACTTCAGACACTACATTTGAGTCTGCTTTCTTGCAGGAATAGTCACTGTGATTATATGCATGAGTAATGAGCAGAACTGGCCCTAACTATTTAGAAATGTAACTGTGAAATCTTAGAGGTGCTGGTTTTCTAGGTCACTAATTTCTCCACCAAAAAAACCCACACCCACAAATCTGTTGGCTTATGTTTCCAAAGGTTGAAATCCAGCTCTTCTGCCAGAGGGCCAATCAAGCCTACATATGATTGCCATGTCGTCCGTGGTCATTTGCACAGGGGGCTACTGCATTTTGGGTCAGCACTGAAGCACCAAACTGAGTTACCACTGACTCGTAAGAGCAGTATGAGACTATGGAAGTCCTAACGCACTGTCTTGTTAAACTTCAGGTAACCAGGAATGTAATTTTATCATAATGAAAGCTCAGTCCGACATTCAGAAGACTACTCAGGTAAAATATGTAATAAGCACGTAGCTTGGTTGGTGTTGCTAGGGGTTAATGGAGGTGTTTAATATATTAATACAAACATTAATGGAGTAAAACAGGCTAATGTTACTGCAGGCTGTAGTTAATCTTCAAAAGAAGGAATGAAACACAATTTGTAAGAATGGTAATTTTTGTAACTAAGGACTTCACATTCATTTTTAAAACCACAGGAGTGGGGTAATATTCCTGATATCTTTCAAAACATTCCGCAAAAACACAGACTGAGCGCGCGAACGATAGAATATCCAGGCAGTCCCAGTGACCTCCAAGGTAAGCATTCTCATATGGCAGAGAGCTGCAGGAATCTGCTTTTTTTTTTCAGAGAACGCTCAATAAAAGTGCGGTATGGTGAAGCAAACAATGCAATTATTATGCTTTCATTATTAGATGAAAAATGTTCAGATATTTTATAATTGTGCCTTTTGTAGGGCGGGCGTTCTGGTTTGAGCAGAGCCAGGCCGTGTTAGAAGAGATGGGCAGGGTACCCCCCCACATTTTCTTTCCCAGGGTGGTAACACCCCGCAGCCGTTCTACCGTATAACCCCGTCCACAGCTACAACACGGTGCTGCCCAGCTGCACAGTGCAACTTCTGCTTCGACAAAAGTTGACGTTTGTTTTGCTCTTCACGTCCACCCAGGCATGCTCTCCCTTTCGGCTCCTAAGCACCCTTCCTGTCCCCACCCAGCCTCTTTTCTTCCTGAGATGTCAGAAGTATGTACGCTAAGTTTTGGAACCTGAGAATTTGGAGGTATTTTTTGATACTACAGGGCTGCATTTGTTTCATACCATGTTATCTCCTGCTATACTATTACAGTTACAATACAAATCTTCTAACTAGTTGATACCTGATGCCTTTCCTATATAAATAAAAAACAACGTACCATTCAGCCACTCATAAATGACACTTGCTATAAGAGTGACCTTTACCTTCCACAAGCCCTCTTCTCCAAACAAATGTTGAGGGATCATTTCCAAGAACCCAGCTATGAAATATTCCTTGAAGTAAACAATTTCACAATAAAATAAAGAAAGAAATATATCCAGAAAATAGCACTCTCTCAAAATTAAAACATATATATATATATCAAGAAGAAATTGAGACCTTTTCCTCATTCTTTAATCAGTCCTACATTATTGGTAGATAAGAAACATAATCACTGAGAGTTAGGAATAGGAAAAACAATTCTAGTGAAGTGTCGTGTCTTCTTTAATACTCTTGAGAGATCAAGGAAATTCAGCATTCAACTTTATTATAATTATTTTTAATTAAGGTAGCGAAAGACTGGTTAATCTTAATTCCCTACGGTTTTGATTATCCAAGACTTCGATCCTTCAGTGCACTCTAAACAAGCCATGCCGCTGTACTTACGTTCACCTCTGGGTACAAATTAAGCTTTCCATGGATGTGATTCAACCATGAGCTCCCTACTTATCCTTCTTGGTTTATAATTCTTAATAGATTAAACTGTTTTAATATTTATCACAAATTTGGTGCTCTTCCTTAGAAAGACTGAGCTTTAACTGCAACTGTAATGCACATACGTGTATATAAGAGTTTATGAGCTGAGTTTAGCATTCTAGAACAGAAATATTTAAAATATTAAAATTGTACCTGAACATTCATTTTCTTATCAAGAATCTATACTGAAAAGATGCCAGTAAGTGTTATTTAATTTTGTATATTAGACTTAAACTAAAGAAACACTCCTCTGGAATCACTATAGTTAGCTGTTTTTTTTCCTATGGAGTAGAAAACTGCCACTCAAAACTTACAAATCTTTGGGTAGCTAGCGAGCTCTGATGAACTCTTTTCAGCTTTCTTATCTGTCAGTCAGAGTTTTCAATGAAATTAGTATTCTACATTGCATGCTACGGAGTGCTATGTCAACAGCTTGTATTATCAACTTTTAGGGTTTTTTCCCTACTTAACTGAGGTCTAATTCATGGCAACTTGAGAAAAGATAATCGGACTGAGGTGCTTATGTCCAAGGATATCTATTTGAAAGAGAAAGATTATTCTCCATTCACATCCAACAAGTATTCTAGCCGTTAGCCCCGTACAAGTCAGTAACAAGCGACAGGTCACTATCTTCAAAATAGTCCTGGAGTGAAATTGTTGAATTGTTGTGTTTTTTGAAAAGGAGGGCTACATTTTTCTAAAAAAAATCGCTTTGGTGTGAGGAGTATTAAACTTGTAAACTATGAACTTAACTGATGCAAAACGATGCCTGACAAGTGTGAACCCACGAAGGGAATACAATCATTAAATACTCTAATGATACATCCACCTCAAACATTTGCAGCCCACGTTTTTAAGGTCATCTAAATTTCCAACCTACAGGTAGGCATTTTTTAAATCACTCCTCAACAATTACGTGTCTACGCCCGATTGACTGGAAAGCTTAAACTTTCTGCCAATCTGCTAGATGCCTGTCTGCATCTTTAACATTTTAAGTGAACTTAAAAGCTAGTGCATAGCATGGCAACAAAGACTTTTCACAAATTCAGCGACCTGTAGGCAAAGACCATATTTGTGCCGTGCAAAGGACTTTTTTTAAAAGCAGACACTCAGCAATAATTTTCCACTCTCTGACTTATACAGAGGCCTGACCTGTCTCCTCCTGTCCCGTGAGACAAGACGATCAAGATCTAGAAACGTTTGCTGGAGTGGGTGGATGTGGGGGGCTGGAAGCCCACGCTGGCCTCCAGGGTTTCCCAGTGGAAGAGGATGTACAGCACGGCTGCATCATCGTGTTGCTGCACGTATGGATGGTATGTAGCATTGTCGGATTTTAATAATGGGCATTTAACAATTGGAACAGTTTAGAGAATGACCTTTCAATTTAATTAAAGCTGTAAAATGGCTTCACATTTCTGGGATTAACCTTTTTAGATGGAGACGGATGTTCCAGAAAGGGATTAGAGTACAAGTGAATGGCCCTTCAATTTAAAAACTAAGCAGCTGTAAAGGAAAGTTACAATTTGAAACATAATTAAACTGGTCAATTCTACAGTTTCTTGTGCTGACTTTTAAAAGACACTAAAATATTGCAATATTTTGAGTCAATTAAAGCTCTGCTCGGCGTAACATGATCAATGTTTTTCAATACAAAATTGGTTACTAACATTTACTTCAAAAAACCGCACATGATTTGTTTAGGGAGTGGGTAATTTAAATGTAGTACAATCACTTTTAACTTTGCATTAAATTGCATCAACCTTCTTGCAAACATAAGCTTGTGATTTCCACATTTCACTCCTTCACTAGCAACTGAAATGTCTCAAGTTAGAAGTATGTGTTGATTATATGTTGATCTACATTAAATATAGGGTACATAAGAAAAATCTTAGCATGTTTTTTTACAGGGCACCCAACTAAAATCTTTACAAAAGATAAGATAATTATCCATTCTTCAATGTAATAGACACAGATGCCACTTTTATAAATGTACCCTTATGTTCACTCGCCAATAAAATAGTAAACAAATCAACTTTTTAAACCATTTTTTTTATAAATTATTAGAGTATTTTTACGGACACTCTCCAACAATATACAAAAATAATACTACAAGAGTACCAATCAGTCTGACCTACCCCTCATTTCACAGAAAAGTAGAGGTTATGGAAGGATGTTCTTGTAATCAATCATCGCTGTAGATGTCTCCTGCAAACGGTAGGTGTACGTGGCTGCCTGTGACGTTGGGAAGTCGAGAGAGATCAGGCAGGTTCTGGATGCGTGACCTGAGCTCTTTCCGTACTTGGGACACTCTGGCTAGCTTGCGTTTGTACTCCTGCAATGCAGAAGAATTCAACATGAGGCTTTTTTGCTACGACCGTCCCTACTACCTACTGCACTTCATGGTTTCCAAAGAAAGTCTTCCTTCTGCAAGTTGGAGGACTAAACATCTTTTAACGGGCGAGAACTCAGACAGCTGGCTGTTCTGGAGACATCAGCTCAAGATGAAGTATTTAACATTGTAAACCAGCTCACTAGAACATAGCTAGTGCTCACCTATTAAGAACAAAAGACACAGTGGAGAAGAATACCAGCTTGTATAAAATTAAACCAGTTATTCCAAAATGTAGGAAGAGTAGGGTACAATCTCCAGGAATATTTACATTTCAGACTCTTGGAAACACATTTCTTTGGAGAGCAGATGAGACTAAGCATTAGCAGGCAAAGCGGCACTTCATGAAAATATACTGTAAGCCACCACGCCTCAAATGTCGATGCTTTCTAGCATGGCTGCAGGTTTTGGTGCAGCCTGGGGATGGCTGGAAATAAAAAGAAATAGTTAACCTACAGCTTGGATAATCAGCCTATGGATAACCAAGATCTCATGATTATAAACACTTCTAAATTAATGGGGGAAAAAACCCGCATCATCCTCTAAAAGTGCCAAATATAAACACTTGAAAGTTCCAGCAGGTATAAAAGCGCTGTGCAAATGTCTGCAAAAGATAACAATCGTGATATTTACGAGGTCTAAACATAATTTTAATCAGTTTTCTATACTGTTAGTAGCATGGAGTATCAAGGAAAGCCAATTAAAAGACATTTTGATAGTAGAAACTGATACAGTAGTACAAACATTAAATACCTGGCACATGATCAAGATTATTGGAGAAGGTCCAACACACATAAAACCAAAGTTTGTGACTACTAGTAGCAGTATGGCCTTCTTATCAAGGGCACTAAGTGAACCACAAGAAATACTAAATACTTAATGAGAAGGTAATGCATAGTTAAAAAAAAAAAAAAAAGCCAATTAAATCCTTACATTGAAAAAAGAGAAAGAATTGTCCCTGAATTAGGATCATCAATTCCTTGATATCATTTGTATTTAAAAATTAAATAGTACATACAGTCCAAAGTCTTACAAGATACTAAACAGAGTGAAAATACTACAGATGCCTCGTCAGCAGAACTGTAATCACTTGGTGACAGTACACAGGCCAAAGCACCGTTCCTTTTACGATACAGATGACCAAAAAAGTCTTATAACTGCAAGTCCCTTGGTCCTCGGAAAACCGTCACTTGCTCACACCTGCCCAAAACATTCCCTCTGGTGCAAGGGACTTCAGGACACGGCTGTGGAAATGAAGGGCTGTATCTAGATACTGTATCCTTACAGTAACGCCCAAAGGCCACAAATACTTTGCTGTTTCATTTCTAACACTGCAGCAGCGTGCGGAGGCCTCAGTGAGCTGATCCTGTGCGAGAGACATCCTTTGCCAGCCTGTAAAAAGGCAACAACAGAATACTTCGTGCCCCTTTCACCGTCCGGTTTGAGTTCAGACTGCAGAGGAAAACACAGGTTTCATTGTTTAGGAAAACAATCTGGCAACATATGGAACACTGGTTAACCACAATCTCCATTTTCAGAAGCAGGATGGCTGGAGACTGAGCAGTAGGCAACGAGGGCTTTGAGCCAGCTGGCACTGTAGAGGGGACCTGGCCTCTGTTGTGAAAGTCGTACGTACTGCTCTACAGAAGAGGATGAGTAGAATCTCAAGCAGAATCAAAGAAGTTAACCAGAAAATCTTTCCAGCAGTTAATCCTTGTAAATGGTGCTTGAATCAGCTGAACCCCGTGTTCGTTCTCTGTCAGTGAAGACCGTGAAGCAGCACATCAGTACCCCTGCATAGGCTCAACGCGTGACGCTAGGCAAATACGCACAGCTCACACTTAGCAGCTCCATTCCCTCTTTACTCCAAAACTTGAAATGTGCTTGAATTCAGACTGCCAGCTCCTTGACTCCATTAAAATTCCCTTTAGATGATAATAAATCATTTCCATAGTAACATCACATTTCTGACATCCAGCATTTTCCATAGAAATTCTGCCTGGGACTTGTTGCCTAGTGAGGTATCAGCTTGATCAGTATTACTGACAGTAGTTTCCTTTTTCTCACGAAGGAAAATGTTCTCATAAATTCAGTCTCCCAATATAATACAGTCTTCTTCCTCTCACCAACATCTTTAGCATAATGCACACCCTCAGGGAGTCAAAACTTGTGCCTTCTCCAAAATAGAGACCTCTGAGAAAGTTTGCTCAAGGATTTTACTATAAAACTAGAGTCAATAAAAATGACATAAGGTTTTATAGTTCATTGTATTATTGCTGCAGTGTAAGCTACAGAATGCAATTTTAGCACAAATTTGGTCATCCAAACCATATGTGAGATCTGCAGCTACAGGTTAGATGTCCATGACAATCCTCCTCACAAGCAGAAATATTATTCACCTTATCCAGAGCACCTCATTTTCCATGACATTCCTAAAACCATTCTAGAAACCACGGGAAAAGTCCAGTTTTCATGACTGCCAAGCAAGTTCAAAAGAGGGCTGATTTTCAAGCACAGTGACTTAGCACTTTTGGCATACTTTCAAAGGGGCTGCTTTTCACTGTTTGATTCTATCTAAAATCACTGGTCACTTCTGAAGGGGTTTGCTTCTGTATTTTTAAGGCTGCTAATACAGTCCTGGCATTACCCAAGTATTCCTGCGCTGTTGGACTACACATATAAAGTACTCATTCTCAGCAATACTTGTTACACGTACAGCCTTTACTACTTTATCATAACAGCATGCACATGTACCTACAACCTTTTTCCTCCATGTATTCACTGAGTGTGTGACTTAAAGCAGAGGAGCAGGAATGGGGATAGCTAGGTGTTATGTTCTGATATTGCTGCTCCATGAGAAATGCTGTATGCTATACAACCAAGTAACAATTTACTGATATATTGTTGACACTTCTAACTGCAGAAATCCTCCTGGAGAATTTCAATTTCATTTTCATTATGTTGATTTTAAGATATAATTCAAAGTACCCCTGTGTAAATGAGGCAAGATTCAAGCTATTTACTTCAAACAGTCAAGGACAGGCAGAAGTATGATGTTTTCTTTTGCTACACTGAGCATAATTTGCATTGCTTGCTACCTGTGGAGAACCTCACTCTTGGGATACATGGGCAACCTGATGTATGGAATTAAAGTCTCTTCCATTTCTTCAGCAGTCTAAGATAACACTACTTTCAAGCAATAATTTTTTTGTACTTCCAGTCATAAAAATAAGTTTATGAGATAATTAGAAGAACTTATTTTGCTCATTAGAATCCCACTGATTACTACAGTTGCCATTACCTAGCAGTGTAGAATATTGTTATTTTGTGAAAGCAATGCTAACCACATATGGATTCCAGACCTAGATTAACAGTACTTCTCTATCAAATAAGTACCAGGCAAAAAAGCCAAATAATTTTTGATTAGGTGCTACAATTATAATTAATAATAAAAATGTGGGCAGGCCAAACAGTCTGTGCACTGCAGAGAATATTTTACTTTCCAATTGAAACAGATCTTAATATAGAATTTCTGCAATTACTGTAGAGAGCCATTACAGCTAAAACAACTTGGAACTTCACGGATATGCTTTCCCTCTACAACATTAATATGACTTCACACCCTCATCTGATCAGTAAGGCTGTGGCATGCATCAAAATACTGTGTAGCAGAAAATGTGTAGCAAAAGAAGAGGAGCAAAGTATGATTCCAAAGCAAGAACAAAAGGTATGCAGAAAGCACAAATATTTAATCTGCACCTTTGTTAGGTACAGAAAAAAAAAAAAAAAAAAGGTAAGGTGGAAATCAATACTCTCAATACAAAAAAACAAACCCCAAAAGGATTAAAAGGCTTTTAAATTGTTGAGGGCATGGGTGTACATCAGCATCCACGGCCTGTAGGCCCATCATATTTAAAACTGAGATCTCTGACTTTGTAGGTCCAGTCCCACCTTCCAGCTTCAGGTGCAGACGTTGGAGCTGTGTCACAGAGCAATAGCTTCTCGCATGTTGTGTCCAACAGCACAAAAACCACTAGAAATCCTCAAAGGCTCAGACAAAGGCAAATGGCATGCGATACCCTGCTATCTAGACTCTGAAGTTCAGAAACACAGTATTTGTTTATAGATTTCACCTTGTTAAAATCTAAATGCCTCAACCAATCTGGGTATTTTTCTGCAAGGAAGACCAACAACTAGAATTGAGAAGTCAGATAAGCCTCGCTATCACTCTGGAAAACAGATGAGCAGGGTTAAATTTTGTGCTGCCTTTAAAAATTTGGCATGGCTCATGTTCTTCACCAGTATGATTAAAGGCTCAACTTATTTTACAGTGTTAAGGACGAACAAAACCCTGGAATATCTTTCATTTAAGACACTGAACAGAGTCTGAACACATCTATAAGCTTCACACCCACACACAAGGTTGAACAATCAAGGGCAAGCTTAGGAAAGGACTGACTTGGCTAACCTTCTACTACACGTTTTGCCTGTTCACTACAAAACAGATTTTTGGAAGAAGGCTTCAGCTTTCCACTATGTTAACATCTATCAGTTTTCCATTCTGATACCCCATTTAGAGCAAAATGAGAAGTGAAGCAATGAGCACCTACATAATGACTGCTTTGTTTATTCCTTATTGTTCTACGCATTGTCCCACACATTACTTACTGTACTCATTACTCTGTATGAGGATTTACCAGTAATATCATAGGTTTTCTAATGGCATACTTCACCATTACAAAAGACAATTTTTTCTTCAGAAAACTTTCAGCTGACTGATCAAAATGAAATGCATCCCCCAATTTTGAGTATCCCATTTTCCTTAGTACATAAAATTACCGAGAACTTAATGCTTTGAAGCACACTTTCTAAATTAAGTTTAGAGACTCCTCAGCTTGTCTGCAAATGAAGCAAGAAGCAGCAATGAAATCAGAAAAAATTGA